TCTTTGGAGAAGTGTCCATTCATGTCTTTTGCCCATTTCTTCACATGAGCCCTTTGGTTTACTTGTTTTTTCGGTGTTGAGTTTGATAAGTTCTCTATAGATTTTAGATCCTAACCCCTTATCTGATATATCTCCTCCCATTCCATTAGTTGCCTTTTAGTTTTGCTGATTGTTTCCTTCGCTGTGCAGAAGCTTTTTATTTTGATGAAGTCCCAATAGTTCATTTTTGTTTTTGTTTCCGTTGCCTCTGGAGACGTGTTGAGTAAGAAGTTGCTGCAGCTGAGGTTAAAGAGATTTTTGCCTGCTTTCTCCTCGAGGATTTTGATGGCTTCCTGTCTTACATTGAAGTCTTTCATCCATTGTGAGTTTATTTTTGTGTATGGTGTAAGAAAGTGGCCCAGGTTCATTCTTCTGCTGTCCAGTTTTCCCAGCACCACTTGCTCAAGAGACTGTCTTTTTTCCATTGGATATTCTTTCCTGCCTTGTCAGAGATTAGTTGGCCATACGTTTGTGGGTCCATTTCTGGGTTCTCTATTCTGTTCCATTGATCTGAGTGTCTGTTTTTGTGCCATGTGGTATCACCTTCTGATGACCTAGGAGTTTCTCATGTGATGCTCCTGCCGCCGTGGCTGGATTTCAGTGTGATCTGGGTACTGTTTCCAGCCACATGGCCTGCAAGCCTGATCCCTGGCCCTCTCAGACATCCTTCAAGCTTCCTAACAGCCTTTAAAAAATCCCTTGTTGGCTAAACAACAGTGGTTGGCTAAAAGCATGGAGTCTGGGGCTGGGCTGCCTCGGTATGGTTCCCAGCTCTGCCATTCTCTATCTTTCTGATCTCAGACAGGTGACTTAACCTCTCTGTGCCTCAGTTTTTCCTCGTCAGTGAGATGTTCCTCAGAGAGTTGTTGGGAGGATAAAATGTGTAAAGGCCCCTGGAAATGTTCCTGGCATGTAATACTACTACATGAGTATTTGCTATCATTATTCAGTTGTTTGCTAAGAAACCCAAGAGATACCAAACTTGAGGAACTTGCAAGTTATATCTGGGACCAGGACACTGGAAGGAGTTCTGGAGTCAACTCAGCTCACAGTCAAGGTCTTCAATTGATTTAACTTCTCTGAGCCTCATTTGCTTCTTCTATAGGAATATATTGACACCTAAATTCCACAAGACTGTTGTGAAGGCTAACAGAAATCCATACAGAACATGCCAGATACTTAGCTGCACAGAAGGCTGCTCCATGAATGGTGGCATCATTGTCCCGGTTATTGTCAATTGATCATTATTAATTGTCACTATTAATATAACTAAAAATTAATAAATGTGTCAGGTCCCTGGATCTAAGCCAAGTCCTCATCCCTCATCTGAAAGAGCAATGGTCCCCAGAGGCTGAAGGGTTTGAAGATAAGGATAGAGACGTCAA